TATATTCATATACATATATTTATATATAGATATAGATATGCATCTGTATAAACATGTGTATATAATTGTATTTACATATGTATATGTATATATATGTATATATATATATATATATATGCAGGTGTGTGGGTATGCATATGTACATGCTTATGTATATGGATATGTCTATGTCTATGCATGCGCATATGCATGTGTATGTGTATATGTATGTGTAGCTTTCTGTAAAAATTTATATATGTACGTAGATATACACAAGCATGCCTACATGCATGCACACATACATATACATATACCTACATATACGTAAACATGTACATACATACATACATACATACATACATACATACGTACATACATACAGACGTACATAGGTACATACATACATACATACATACATACATACATACATACATAGATACATACATACATACATACATACATACATACATACATACGCACATACATACATACATACGTACATACGTACATAGGTACATACATACATACATACATACGTACATACATACATACATACATACATACATACATGCATACATACATACCTACATACATACATATGTGGATGTGTATACGTGCATAGAGGTATATAGATATTGATATGGGTATACATACAGATATAGATATAGGTATAGGTGTTGTCAAATGTAGAGAGAAGTTAGATATACATATACGGATGCACACAGACACACCCTCACACTGTTGAACATTATCGCCCCTGGAACCCAACAGCCTGAGAGGTGCCCCGAGCTCAGCAACACGCTTGCCCCGCCCGAGGGCCTTCATACAGGCTCTTCGGCCTGTTTTTGAAGGGACTCTAGGGTTTTCTAGGGACTCTTTTCTGGATTAGGGTTCAAGGGTTTTAGGGGTTTTTGAGAGGTCGTCCAGGGTTCTATGGGGCTTCCGTTGCAAGCTTCAGCGTCCGGGGTGCAGGCTTTGTTACATGGGCCTCAAAGCTTGCTTTGTGGTTTAGGGTTTAGGGTTCTGTTTGTGGTGTGATGCAGCTGAAGGGTTCCGCCGTTTAGGGTCGTCGTCAGGGGCATTTGGAGCCGTTCACCTGAACTCGGGCTATTTTGAGGACACCAGAACCAAGAACCCCCGCGGAGCTTAGTGGTGCCCCGAACCCCAAACCCTGGGTGTGAGGATTTAGTGTCGGGGTTGCGGCTTCGGGAACAAATTTCCCCAACTTAGGGGCCTTAATAAGTAGAATTGGGTTATGGGGCCCATTATACTCTACTTATGAAAAGGACCCAAAATAGTATTTGTAATTATTTAGGCCCCTATTCTATTAGTCGAATCTCCTAAAGCTCAAACCCTGGCACACCCAGCGCCACATACTTAACCTGTGACTACCCCAAAGCCTTCGAAACCTACACCCTAAGCCCCAGCCCAAAACCCAAGCCCAAAAATCCTAGATCTGGGACCCTGCAGACCTAAACCGACCCGACATCCTGTACCCAGGCCACGTGGAGGGAGAAACTGCCGAGCCACTTCAAGCTGGCAATGTCCGATGGCTTTGCATCGCAGGATGGCTTTTCTGAACACCAGAAAGTTGGACCATGGATTTAGGATGAAAAGTGCTAGGATCCCGTATGATTTACCTTAAGTGCATGAGGGCAATCATGTTCCAACTTTGCTTTAAGGGTCTGAACAACGAGTAATTTGGGTGCAGGGCTTCGGACTTTTATGGCCTTTTACGGGCTTCGAATGCTTTCGGAGTTTTGGCTTTTAGGGTTTAGGGTTTAGGATTTAGGGTGTAGGTAGGGCTTACGATTGAGGTTTAGGGTTTAGCGTCTTGATGGAGAGTTGAAGCGATGCTCAGGGCTTGGAGCTGAAAACTTCGCGATGAAAGGCCGAATTCCGTTGGGTCCAGGCTCTTCTGGCTTTTAAGCACAGATGCAGATCCCGGAACTTCTGGAGCTGTGCTCTTTCTGTTTGGGGCCTTGGAGCTTCACCCTAAAGACTAGACCTTAGACCCGACGGTTTAGGGTTTAGGGATTAGGGTCTTGGCTTTAAGGTTTAGGGTTCTAAAGCACTGATTCAGCTTCTCCCGGAAGTTGCAAGAGAAGGAAGGCTTCCGTAGTTAAGGCATAGTCTCCCTTCACTGCGGAACATAGATTCCGGACAGGAATCTGCCTCACGGCGCTTCAACTCGATTGGTTTTTTCGAAAGTTTCAGAAGATCCGAGCAGCAACAAGAAACGATGAGGGTGAAAAAGGGTTGTCCATCAGCAAGATCCGAAACTCTTCATCCTGGGACTCTCCATCCTGAGTCTTACATCCCGGAGCCTTCGAATCCTTATGCCGCAGCATCCTGTTCTGAATCCTGTAAACCTTGGCGGCAAAACCCGTGCAACCACATCCCCAGCAATTCCTCGACCCTGAAGAGGAGACGGTGCCACGACGCGATTGAAGCGGGATGCTGTGGTCCTCGCTTCCTGGAGCATGTTGGTGCTAGGCCCACCTGCCGGGGGAATGCTCGACTCTTGCGTTACTACTACTACTACTACTACTACTACTACTACTACTACTGCTACTGCTACTGCTACTGCTACTGCTACTACTACTACTACTACTACTACTACTACTACTACTAAAACTACTCTACTGGGTGCTTAAGCTCCTTTCGGTAGGGGTGCAAACGATGCCAGTATCCCCGGCGAGATACACAATAGCTTTCATGACGCTGATAGTCACTGAAACTGAAACGATGACGTTGTCATCACCAGCATAATCGTCATCACCTTCCTCATCGTCATCATTATCAACATCCTCATCCTCATCCTCTCCCTCACCCTCACCCTAGTCTTCATCCTCTTCATCCTCATCCGCATCCTCATCCTCATCCTCATCCTCATCCTCATCCTCATCCTCATCCTCATCCTCATCCTCATCCTCATCACAACTGCCGTCATTCAACTTTGCGAAAGTCCTGCACTAGGAATGTACTGGTTTGGGGTCAGGAGTGCTGGAAGTGTGTAGGATTAAGTTGAAGAGGTTTGCTGTTCTCAGGTTCTAGCTTCACCCGTGTGGGGGTTGAGGGCTTTTGCACGGGCCACCAACAGTCTGGAGCTCTAAACCCTGAGCTTTTCAGCTGGTGTAGTTATATGGGCTTTTGGCTTAAGTCTTTAGAGTTCGGGTCGGGTCGAAGGCTTTGGCTGTTAGGATTTTGTGCTTGAAGCGCTCCCATAGCAGGCTCCGCGCACTGGTCCTTGCTGCCGCCCGGTTCGGTCCTGGCATCAGACGATGGAAGCATCTGGGGCAATGTGGCATCGGAGGCGTGATGCTAACGACTTGTGTCATTGCTGGGAATGAAGCAAACCTGTGAGTCTCACCAGTATCAGGTTTGCGCTTCTCCTGCTACTCGCTCATACTGCTACTCCCACTCCCACTCGCACTGCAGGACGACGAAGACCACCACGACATATACTTATTTGCTTCTGCTTGCGCTAGGACTCCCACCATGACGACAAGGACGACGAAGATCACGACGGCGGCTGCTTCTACTCGTGCCCTTGTGCTACTACAACGACCGCTACGATTACTCCTCCTCCTACTACTACTACTACTACTACTACTACTACTTACTAGTACTACTACTACTACTACTACTACTACTACTACTACTACTACTTCTACTACTAACTACTACTAACTACGTACTACTTACTACTTACTACTTACTACTTACTACTTACTACTTACTACTTACTACTTACTACTTACTACTTACTACTTACTACCTACTACCTACTACCTACTACTTACTACTTACTA